TCTTGTACTGTATACCCGGGTTCACATCTTATACAAGTGGTTCCATTGCTTTAACACAATTCGAATTTCATAACAAAACCCGTTGTTGAGTGTATATCCATTCGCACATTCAAGACACTTTCGATTGTTTTGCCAAAGACCCTCTCGTGTTGTTGTGCAGTCTACACACCCATCAATTAAGCTGGAATGTTTGCATGAAACCTCGGGGAAATACCCAGTGTTACATGAGACACAAACACATTCCTTAATGTTCGCATGAATGTTCACTCCACATGCGTTGCAATTTGCGTACATATCTTCACATTTCACACACAACGATTCAAATGGATAAAATCCATCTTCGCACTCATAACACGACTTTCCAAGTATCTTTTGACAGTGTGCGTCCTTTTTTGAAATCAAAAATCCATCGTATTCGATTGTTTCTTCGTTGGTATTCGTTGAAATCAAATAACACTCTTTGAATACAAGAACATGACTATTTTTGCATTTAGAGCAATACCCACTTGTATCTTGTGCTGTACAATTTTCATTAATTACACAGTCTCCATTCAGCTTCTTGACATACCCTTCTTTGCAATTAAAACACTTCTGTGTTGTTTTGTCGCACCCATCTTCTCCACAGTTTTCACAAGTCACGCATTTCCCATTCTCTTCCCAATACCCATTTGTACATGACCAACACATGTGGTCCAAATTATCAGAAGAACATGAAACACATATCGAATTTGACAAACTACAAGAAATACATTTGTTATTGTAAAGTCCATAACCATCCAAACATTGACTACAAGCATTTATACTGCAATTCAAACACCCTCTCTCAGCACAATTTGCACACTTTTCTTCTTTCAAATAAAAGCCCTCAAAACACGTCAGACACTCTTCTTTATCTTCACATTTCATGCAATGTTCTGAACAACGATAACACTTGTCATCTTCAATATAAAATCCATCTGTACATGAAGTACAGATGTTGTCAACGTAGTACATGTTTTCTGAACAATTCTTACATGTGCTATTTGAATTGCACACATCACAAAAACTGATACAATTATCACAAGTCCCGCCACTCACATAATGCCCAATTGCACACATCGTACATCCATCCTTATCACATTCTTCACAAAATGGATTTATCGAAGAACATTCAATGATGGGGCTTACACACTCCCCATTTTCAAACACGAAACCATTCATACACCTTTCGCATAAAATACTTGAATTGCACAACCCACAGTTATCTCCACATGTTCCGTTGTAACCACATACATTCGAAACACCATCGTAACTGTTAACTTCCCCTTCACATGGTTTACAGTCATTTCCATATGTGTTAACCCATTGTGAAGACGAGCAATTAGTTTTTGTGACGACTTTTCCAGAAAACGTTTCATTTGAGTAGTTTTGACCCACAAACACGAGTTGTTCAATTGGTGTGACATAGTACAAAATGTCTTCGTTTCCATGGAAAAATATTGCTTTCAGATTTGTAACACCTTTAATCCAGTCTTCTCCTAATGTAGTCAAAGTCGCTGGCAAATGGAGAAACATCATATTGTTGCAACTTTCAAAAGCATAATTCCCAATTTCCACAATATTTGGAAAATTGAAGTCTGTTATCGCACCACATTTACTGAACGAGCCGTTCATGATTGATAGTATTCCCTCCGTGTTTTTAAGTGTCTTCAAATTTTGACAATTAGCAAATGCGTTATCCCCTACTAATTGACCACCTTTCATGTCAATTTCTGAAATTGATGTTTGCGTGAAACTGTAATTACCAAAAGATGACACACCACTTTCAAATTGAATGCTTTGCAAACTGGAACACATGTAAAACGCGTAATCCATAATTGAAACCTTTTTTTTAAACACCAAATTGTCAATGGAATTGCATGTGGAAAACGCACTATCACCAACTATTGTAACACTTTCCAACCCAGTCACTGTGGTAAGACCAGGACACCCATAAAAGGCACGTTGAGAAATGTGTTGTAACCCTGTTAAATCAATTTTGACAAGAAACGTTTTTTCAAAAACCGACTCTCCAATTATAGAAAAGCCTGACACACTTTCGAAACTAGTTAAAACATTCCCAACAAACGCCGAATTTTTTAATATAAGGGGGTTTGTAGTGTTGAAAAAAACATTGTTTAAATTCGCGTTGGCAAACCCGTTTTCAGCTACACAAAAATAGGTAGTAACGTTTAAATCGTTGTAGCAAAGTGATGGGTTTGTTGCGTAGATACATCCAAAAGAATCCACTTGAAAAGGACACTCCGATAAAACTTCAATTACCAGAGTCAGCAATAAAATCATGAGTGTATAGAGATAGAGTTTCTTTTGTTTTTTGTTAAGAAAATAAAACATTATTTGTAAAAATTACAATACATCAAGTTAGTAATACATTTTATTTAAAACTTGTTTTGAACTATTCTTTTTGATTCTTTTTGTTATAATTATAATAAAAATATTTTGACTTGTTTTCTTTTTTGTTGTAATAATTACTTTTTTACTTTTTGAAAAAAATGAACCATACAATATCTAATATTTTTATAATTAATTTAAGCAAAAATCATAAAAATAATTAAATATTCTGTCTTTTTGTACCTTTTTGAAAAGTGTCAAAAAAATAAAAATGAACTTCTTTTATTGTAGAAAAACTGAAAGTTGAAAAGTATTTCATTAATATCCCCGAGAATTTACTATTAAATAGAGTTTTAATTGTGCCATTTGAATAAAAAAAATAAACGATAATTATAAAAAAAATTTAATTAATTAATGAAGAAGCAAAACAATTTAAATTTATTTATTTTTAATTCTTATTTCGAAAAAAAAATGTTTTTCTACAACTGTTACTTGTTTGTTACAAACTTATAAATGTTTTTTATAATTGAAGTATTCTATTTACTATTTAAATACTATTTAAATACTATTTGAATAATAATGAAAAGTTTATTTATATAAAGTAAGTTTAACGATATTGGATTTTTACTATTATTTATAATAACAGTATTATAATATATAATAAAAATAAAGTGGTTTTTCTAAAAATGGTTTGTATTTTATATTTTTGTTCTATTTTTAAAAAAGTGTACTAAAAATAACAAAAAACAAAATTGCTTTAGAACTAAAAAAATAATAAAGTCGAAACGAAAAATAGGTTGGTCTTGAAATGTGAATACGACGAAATAAACTAAGTCAATCAGGTTATTCAAAATGAATAAAATGTCATATTTGATAGAGCAGACATGTCAAATTATCATTTGGGTCAAATTGAAGACGACAACAAGTGATTTGGAAAAAAAGTCAATGCTTAGGATTTGTTTAACATTAGTTTTAATCAATGACAATTTTATTAATAGTTAATGGTTTTTAATTAGCGATATTGAGTATAGTAAATAATGGTTTAATATTTTCGGTCTAGTTCTTTTCTATGTTATATTTTTGGATATCGCTAAATAGAAAACAGACTTTATTTCAAAAAATGGTCCAAATATAACTTTTCATATGGTTTATTCAATGGTATAGAAATTATTAATTATTAGTCGAAACCATAGTCCTGATCAAAACCTTAGTACCACTTCTGTGTATTTCAATTCAAATAAATTTATAGTTAACATTTAATATTAATTTAATTATTTATTATTATAACTTAATAATAAAGTCTTAAACTTTATAAGTATTTTTAGTATTATTATTAATTTAGTTTATAAAATGAACTTTTTTAATTTTTTGTATTTTAAAGTAAATAAATGTAAATTAATATAATACTTGATGATAAACTATCAAAAAATGAAGTAAATTTTATAAAAAAGATGTTTTTTTTAACATTCGTCTGTCTGTTCAATTACACTTTTGGAAATCTGTTTAGTTAATGAAATTAAAATATAGTATTATTATATATTATTTATAGACTTTTTTTTATTGAAAAACTAAATTATGATAAAACTACAGTTCGTCGATATTTAAACTATCGTTTCTCAAACAGTTTACCATTGTTTTTAGTAAAATCAACCATATTTTTAGTAAATGTTAAATTGTATAAAACTATTAGGAATAATAACTATAATTAATAAATGAATGAAAGAATAACATTATTTTCACAAAGAAATAAATAGTGTTGTTTAAAACTCACCAATGAAACAGCTGTTTTAATCTTTAAACAAGTAAAAAAGAACCGATAAAACGGGAAATAAGGATGATTTGAATACTAAACAAAGAATTTAATAAATTGAAAAAAAAAACTACTTGATAAAAGAACAAAAAGAATAGAATGTTGTGTGTGGTTCTACAACTCATTGTATTAGCGCGATCCGACCAATTCAAGGAATTTCTCAAAGAGAATAATATTGTGTACACAACCCCTTCTGAACTACTGCGGCGTCGTTTAATCTTCGAACAAAGTCTTCGTGAAATTGAAGAATTTAACAAATCTCCACACACGTTTCAAATCGGCATCACACAATTTTCGGACCAAACCAACGAAGAGTTCCAAAATCAGTTTTCTTTAACAATGGATAGACAAGACGAGTTTTCGTTGGGTGAATTTTCGATGGATTCCGACGAAGACGTTGACAATTCCAACACCGATGCCACTTACATCGAATACAATTTAGAACAAGACGAGGAAATATATGGCAAAGAGATGCGTCGCAAAGTTCGTGGGAAGCGTTACAGAGGTGTGCGCTTCATGCGGAAGGTGTATGTCCCCAAGAAATACCGAATAGGGAGGAAATGGAAATTCAGTGCGAAGAAAGACAAAGTGACTGAGCTTCCCGAAGGGCTTGATTTTCGCAAGTTCAACAAATTGACGTATGTGAGAGAACAAACGGGATGTGGCGGGTGTTGGTCCTTTGCGTCGATTGCTGCGGTTGAAGCCCAGTACTTGATTAATTACAACATTACAATAGAAGATGTTGGACGTCAGTGGGCATTGAGTGAACAAGAGTTGTTAGATTGTTGTATAGAGAACAATGGATGTGAGGGTGGCAGCATGGAACGAGCATTTCGATGTATTAACCGTACCAAGGGTGTCATGCCTCGCAGTCGCTATCCCTATGAAGCGGAGACACAAGACTGTAAAGAATTTAACAACGAGTATAAAGAAGTTACTGTTGGGGGATATGCACTTGTACCGCGTGGTAACTCAAGAGCAGTGATGTCAGCGCTTCACAAATTTGGAGTGTTGGGGATCGGGGTAGATACACGAAGTAAGTTGTTTAAGCATTACCGTGGTGGCGTGTATTTTAATGAAGATTGTACCCGACGTGGACTGAGTCATGCGATGAATTTGGTTGGGTATGGCACAACAAAGGATGGACAGAAGTTTTATATCATCCGTAATAGTTGGGGAGATTGGAAGTGGGGAGAAGATGGGTATATGAGGATATTTAGAGGAAACAATCACTGTGGTGTAGAAACGAATTGTTTCTTCCCATTATTTGTTCGCAAGGTTGGGGATAACCCGAAGCCGATGAATTACACGGAAAAGATGATAAAAGATCTTGTCCAAAGGAGCAGAAACGGATGGTTGCATTAATATATTTTCAGATTCCATTTGTTCAAACGTCAAAATGATTTTCTGATTCTATTTTTTACCTTTTAAATACCTTTTCTATAGTTTATTTTTAAAAATAGATATCTCACACCATCCATGTCATTTTCCTAATTTAACGGGAAAATGTCCACAAAAAAACAAAGAGTTTTTTTGTTTGAAAAAAAACGATGAAATAAACGAAAAATGAGTGGTGTAACTCATACTGTATCATACACTATAATAACATTAATTATATTATAATACATTTATCACAGACGAACATTTTTCAAGTTGACTCAATAAAGTATAGAATAGTGGAAAGTCCTGATTCTTTAAGAAATTACGAACAATGAAACAAAAAGACAAAACAGGTGCAACAAAAAATGATAAGGACATAAAACTTGAAAAAGGTATATCGATATGGAAAGCAAATATCAAGACGCACAGGTACAAGGTATTGTGAGTTACCTGAATGCCTTCATATCAACAAAAACTGACCTACACATAACAATCGAAAAAACACTTGCGAATCTCCAAGACTCGTTGAAGTCGACAACTATACTTAATCAGTACATCCAAACATTTAGGGCGTTTCCAATCCCTCACCAATCACCTTCAAACCTTTTTCAAACAAATGAAAATGCTGCGGCGATCATTAGGACCGCCAAAACACTCGGTCTTGAGATCACGTGTTCATCAACTAACATTACACAACCCGACGCAGTCAGCGCAACACAGGTTCTTGGCCTTCTGTGGCAGCTTATGGATTACGAACTGAGAAAGACCATTGGAGGTATTGACTGTGAAGGAGAAGTGATGAAATGGGTTAATACAACACTTGGACAAAAACGAATGACTAATTATACGTCAGATTTACAAGACGGAATTGTGTTTAGAGACTTACTTCGTAAAATTGGGGTACCATGTGGGGACACCCTTCCTGATGTTATTATAGCTGCAGGGAGCATCGGGTGCCAATTGATATCAGTGGACTCGGTCCAAGGATGTGTTGTAAAAATGAACTTTGCGTTCTTGGCAGCTCTCATGAAGTGGAAGAGAGAGAAAGACGAGGAAGAACGCCGAAAGAAAGAAGAACAAGACCGAATCAACAAAGTTATCGAAGAATCTCGTAAAGCTGAGGAGGACCGAGTCAGAGCAAAACTAGAGCAAGAGATCAAAGAGAAGGAGATGCTGAACAAACTCAAAACAAACCAGAACGAGAACGAACAGAAGGACAAAGAGTTACAAGATCTCGAAGCAAAGCAAGCAGAAGAGATGCAAAGGATGTTAGACAAAATTGCTCAATGGATGA